TATATGTATATATATTCTTTTGTTATTAAAATGGCAAAAGATATCGTAAATGTGCAGAATGATCTAATAACATCTTTTTTATGAAACATGATGACAAAAATAAAGTTGTTGCAGATTTAATATTGCTCTTTAATAACGCACTTTATTGCGTAGATTAATATTCTTGAAATTGTTCGCGAAAAATAATTATGTGGAAAAGCTTACGTTTCTCGAACAATCCTGTTTTTCAAAACCGCATAATTTAGAAATTATTGACAAGGAAGAATTTTATAGATTGACCAATTGTTAGCGTACAGCGCGGCGGGATCGACGTGTACACCTCTTGGCCTCCCTTTAAAACAGCGCACCTCAGTTTCGCAGAGTCCGCCGACGCGTTCGCATCCTTTTGCGCCGAAGGAGTTCTCAGCGCTGCTCCGACGAGTGTATTTATCTCTTTGTACATCGTGGATACCACCGACTTAATTCTGAGAAATCGTTGTGATGGTCCGACTTGATTTTTTGCGTCGCGAAAACACGAATAGTAGGGGTCAAGTTAAAACTTTGTCAAATCGCGCGAACTCTGTCTCTGCAAAAATCTCTAATCTTTGATTTTTCGCTCGGTCGAAAAATTTATGCTGGCAAATTTTTCGATGAAAACACAGGTAATAGTTTTAGGCGCGCGTAAGAATTTTTAATGTTTGTTCAAAAATTATTTATTCCTTAGAAATTAGCAAATTGGCCTTGGAATACATTGTAAAATTTTAAAACTGATATATTAATCAAATTTCAATGGAAGATCATTATTTGTCATTCCAGTATTTATGCAAAATATTAAATTTATTCTGATAGTTTTCTACGATTCTATATATGTTACTATGTGAAAGTGTTATATTTATTGACACAAGAGTAGCTACATGTATAATAAAATATGCATAAAAATTTATTTTGATTGCAACACAAATAGTATTAGATATTTTTTATTGTACAATAAATATTTTCTATTCATATATTTTTCTGCTTTTTGATATTTCTCTTTTATTTTCATTTTGTTATTAATAATTTATAAGTAGCTTTTCACAAATTAGTATACAAAAATTAAACGAATTAGAAATTCGCGATTCCAAATAGCTAAAAATAATAATGTTTAATATGTTTTAAATATTAAATTATAATCACATACATGTGAAGAAGTGTTTTATCTTGCGATATGTTTATGTACAAATATAAAACTCAGAGATATCTCTTATATTTATTATAGTCTTACTATATATATATATATATATATATATATATATACATATATATTGTAACGTACTGAGATATTACGCGAGAATGCCAAAAATATTTTCAATGTGATTCTGCTTAAATATTCAGTTAGAAGTATGTATGTCAGAATAATAAGAATCTAATCTTGTAGAGTATGGCGGAAATTTTCACTTAAGAAAGACTATTACTGTTATGAATGCGTCGAGGAAGGACAGTCACGCGACTTTTCACCACGTAACAGGCTAAACGTGATCGTATCTTTGCGGGTAATTTTACTAAAGTTTTATTGCGCACATTTATACATTTATATCTTTCAACGAGAAACAGAGAAAAAGAAAGGGGAACTTAAAATGATGAACGTTACGCGGCTAGTTTTGAATTAGATTTAACTTATTTTGGCAATTGGCCCGATGTCAATAACGATCTCGATACGTGATCGCAACGAACGAAGGTACGTTTATGCAGCGATAAATCAGCATAGAAAACTTTATGACGAGACCCGGTACTAAAAGTCTACGACGCGTTTCCATCCGTATTTGAATGCGGAAATATATTTACTTGGCTTCCCATATATATTTCCCAGATACTTTATGGGTTTGTTCTCGACTGTACAGAATAGTCAGTACGAAACATCGTACAAAAAAAAAGGAAGAAGTCATTAAATGCAAAAGATGCAAGCGATCTAGTCTGGTTAACGTGGAAAATAAAAATTCAATTTTACGGACGACAAATATAAAATATAGAAGGAATAGTCCATTTATCTTTTTCACGTACAATTATCTTCTTTCAAATTGTATTGCTGACAAATCCTTTTATGTATATATTGAAAGTTAAATTAATCTTTGACAGGTACAAAGGAGTGCGGAAATAATGTCCCTTAGACTCGGCGACTCAATTTCCTGTAACACTTGAGAGGCGTATCTTTTTGCTTGCATAGTTAATTACATAGTAATTGCTTCGTATTCGCGATGAACGAGAAAAATTAATCAATCACGCATTATACAATATTTTTATAAATATGAGAGTTATATTAGAATATTTTTGTTGAATTTACGAATTAAAATAAGGACGAAGTTAATTTGTATATAAAGTACAAAATCGTCGATTTGATTATTCTCTACGGGACCATGAAAGTTTTACGAGTAAACGTCTCGTTCTTTGTATCATCGATGCGATAAAAGAGGAAAAAGAACTTTAACAGGACATTAGCACTTTTTTTATTGGTTAGCACTTTTTAAAGTTTTAGATAAAAAACGATAACAAGTTTTTGATAAAGATAGCAATCGCATCATTGTTCACTCTCCATCGTCGATTAAAATCACAAAAATAAAATTATTGTGCTGACGTAAATTAGAATGAGCGATAAAGATATAATTTTAAATATTAAACTAGAAAATGTAAAATCTACAAAATTAATTTTGATTAATAATTGTAATATTTTATGATATTTCTTTTCGTGAATATAAATAACTTGATTTTCATTATGATATATTATATTGTATAAATGAAAATTAATGATCGTAAAGAACGTAAGCGTATTACGTATTACGCGTAGTACGTGAATTAAAGTAAATTATTTCTGAAAAAAAATCCATATTTGAAATCCAAGTTTAAAAAAAATGTAAATAACTAGAGTTAAAAGAAACTTATTAATTCTTAGCTTTATATACTCTTTGTAAAATATTGGCTTTCAGTTTTTGTTAATGAAAATATCAATATTAATAATGTTCATTTCACAAGCCATTAGAAATGAAAGATTTTCCGCAAAGTTGAATTTAGAAGGAAATAGATTATGGAACACTATTCATCATTAAATTCAAAGCGGAGTTTATTTTATAAAAATGGGCGATGTCTATGTCAAACATATTGAATTATATCGTATAAACAAATGAATTACGACTTAATATAAGTTATGACTCAGAAAAGTGGAACGAAATATACGCGTACGATCTTTACGATCATTAATTTTTCGTCAACTATTTCGATTCGATAAAATAGATCGATAGAACAGGTGATACAAACTTTGCTATCAACCCAACAAATCATCTGGAAATATAAAATGAGAACACGTATATAATAACAGTCACTAATAATTTACAGTTATCTGCAGGCGCAATCCTTTTTTAGAATTATATCTTACATCTCTATTTTCTACACCTACATTTTACGATAAATCTACTTTATTAAGTTAAGGCGGCGTTGTTGAGGAAAAGTAGTAACTTGCAAAAAATGACCGGGTATTTCATTCTATATCATTAACATCATAATTCAATATGTCTAGCATATACATACTACGTCGACTTTCTTTATTACGTTACTGAATATTGAGCTCCTAGCTGCGCTATGTGAAAAAAAGCCTTTATATATATAAAAAAAAAAAAAAAACGATGAACAAGATATAAAGAGATTCTGTAATTACAAGTCACATATCCCTTAGATTCATCAGTCACTGAATAATCAATGAATAACGTTATACATATTAATTTACGAGAAACTCAATCACAATGTTGTTCTTAAAAACTTTTTATTTGCTTTTTTTAAAAATGTCTTATTCTTTATCGAATATATATATGAAGTTCGCAACTCTAAATCAACAGAATTTAATTTGCGAATTAATCACTAAGAATAACAAAAATTCCGAAATTTGGGAAGTTGTGACGAATGTTACCCTTTGATATTCCCGATGATAAAAATTGATTCCATATTTTACGTGGGACAATAACATATATTTGTTTTCCAATTCTGGAGTATTTTCTAAGGACACTGATGTATTTGTAACATTACTCTGCGTGCGACTGCGATTGCTCTCTTGCTTCAAATCAACACTTCACTCGCTGCTTTTCACGTAAATACAAATCATCTTAATTGGCCGATGATCGCTCTCCCCTGTCATTTGCGGAATTTCAAAGTCCTTTGTACCGGTTTAAATAAATAAGCTAGCATATAAATTTAAATATAGGGAAGAGCATAAAACATGACAAGTAAATAATTTTAAAAATATTAATGTTATGAAAAGATGTTTCATTTTTAGACAAAAAATTGAAATGTTTTATTGGTTGCTTTTTCTGACGGTTTTACTAGAAAAAAAGATAATTATACACCTAAAAAATATATGTATGTGTGATGCAAAATACTACAACTTAACCAAACTTTTTTATGTCATTAATATTTTGAAATTTGTTCGTCACATTTCACACGTGTTTTCCATCTCAGTATTATATCATCAGTATTATATAAACATTAATTAAATTTAAATAAACATTAATTAAATTTAAATAAACATTAATTACATAGAGTGCTAAATTTCAAACGTAACAGGCCGAATATCTAACTAAATGAAATATCGAGATCCGTTTTTTTTTACGCGTCCATCCAAAGTCAAATTCTATTTATCAAAATTTGTCTGCCTCGAAACAACCTAAGAAAAATCGAACTTCGATATTTCATTTAATTATCGAGTTATTTGGCCTGTTACGTGTGAAATTTATCACCCTGTATAAAACACTATATTATATACATATATTTTTTATATACACACACATACATATTGTATCTGAGAGAATTATACAAGAAAAACGTGGGTTTGGCAGAAAACTTTGGCATAATCCTGGGCTATTCAAAGCGAATTGAGCATTTCATGGAATTCGGCACTACTAATGTGCATTATATAGTGCTATTAGAAACGAAATAGGAGCTTTATCAAAGTTGTGGAGTTGAAGTGCACAATATGAGAATATTATTCCTGACATGCCGGTATTGCACAAGAGATGAATGAATTTACTTCTCCGAGATCACGTTCTTTCCTGTGCACAGATACGAAGCTGATTACAATTGCGCATTGAGAAGCGGAGGAATGCATAATTCTTGCTTCAAAGAAATTCTGCGTTGAGATCACCTAAGTACGGTCATGGCCGTAGAAAGAAGAGAAAAAGGAGAGTCTCACAAACTTTAAGAACACACTACTGATCGTTGCGGAAACGCCGAGCATCTCCAAGGAGCTTTACGTCACAAATAGCTTCTTACATCTATAATTTATTTGACAATGTGTGATTCATTCGACTAAACCCTCCGCTACACATCGGCGTCTGTGAAGTGACATTTGTGTCATTTATTTACACGAATGCACGAACATGACTCGAATAAATGGTCGATTGGACGAGTGATTTATCTACGTACGTGATTTATCCATTCAAATTCCATCGATCGATGAATACAATGCAACAGAACGTCACAATATATTAGAAACAAATCGCGACTAATTAATTTACGCGGTATATAATTTCGCGCGCAAACGACAATCTGCAGCATTCCCGATATATCGTGTCAAAGATACAATAAAAATTTGAAACATGAATTTCGCTGTGTCGATCATCGTCGCTTGGTTAGCAACGCGATCGATGAGCAACGCGCTCGACAATGGGGTCGATTACTACTTGGACAACGTCGAAGATTTAGAGTACGTCAACGCGACGAATTGCACGAACGACTACTGTATCCCGGACGAAGATTACATCGAACTGATGGTGCAACATATATTCCCCAAGTTCACCGATTGGGTGCTGATTGCTATGCATAGTATCGTTTTTGTGGTTGGTCTGATTGGCAACGCGCTCGTCTGCATGGCCGTTTATCGAAATCACACGATGCGAACAGTGACTAATTATTTTATTGTCAACCTGGCGGTGGCCGATCTCCTCGTTCTACTCATCTGTCTACCGCCATCGGTTCTATGGGATGTCACGGAGACCTGGTTTCTCGGATTAAAACTCTGCAAGGCCGTACCTTATCTCCAGGTAAGCATTTATCTTCGTAAGAATTACCGGAACATTTCCGCTTCTTAATCTCCGAATATTCATTTACAATTGTGGATCAGATCGCAGCAAAAAAGATATATGTCGTTTTTATTCCGGCAGCATAATATAACTAATTTTATTGAATTAAACTTTATTTGAAATATCTTTTCGTATATAATATATTAGATATTATTTCTAATTTTAATTAAATTAATTTAAACCATTATAATGGATATAACGCCATTTTAGGTTTTCATTTTTTTATGCAAAATTAAATTAATTTAATCAAAATTAGAGATAACATTTAATATATTATTATATACGAGAAGATATTTCAAATAAAGTTTAATTCAATAAGATTAGTTCATTATAATGAATATAATGCCATTTAGAAAATTTTGATATATATATCTCATGATTCATTCAATCTTCTTATTTAACAATTCAAATAGTCTAGTAACGAAAAAGTTTTATAGCTTTTCATGGTCTTAAATTAGTTTGGCCAAACTCGTTAAGTCTCGGTGTACTTGATACCTGTTTGCGAGGAAAATTGAAGATGTGCTTGGCTCACGCAAATTGTTTTTTCCGGATTGCCTTACGTGGTTGATAAATGAAGATTATTCCCTTTCAGTAATAAATTCCCTTACAATCTATTTGGATCTAACCCGAGGTGACTGGGTGACTTCTGGATTTCAGATTGTCACAGCGAGAAATAAAACTACTTGAATGAAATCGAGATTGGGGTGTGGTGTGTGCGCCGTTCAAATAAATATTAATTAAATACCGTTTCTATAAAATTCAATAATCGCAAGATTTTAAAAATAATGTCATACATACATTTACATAATATTTATTATTCTACCGTTATGAATATTATTATTTTATTAAATTATAATATAAGCGAATAATTCCAGTTTAATTATTTTTGATATGCAAATTTTTGATTATTCGTTAAAAGTCCTATCACGATTTAAGTAAGTCGTGTTGTAGTATACATTACTAATAATTTTTTACTATATATTATAAAAAGAATATCTCTCGCGTCATTTTATCTCAAAAAGTAACACTTTTATCCGACGCCTTCTCTCAAGTTTTACTCGAAAACTTCTCGATACGGATGATTAACGAATTCTCTAACATAATGCATATGAGATTCTTTAGAATAAGAACGACAAGAACTAAAATGAAGAATAACGCGAGTCCTGAGTTTTGACGACTTTTACCGCGTATTCATATAGAAAAAAGAAAATTTATAATTTAATCTTCGTCTATACATTACTTAATTTAATATCCCAGAGTATATATCCTAAAGCGCGAATTTCATGGAGGCGCTGATTCGCGATGCACGTGATAAAAATGATGTTCGACACCGTGACAAAAATTGATATTCGACATTCGCAAAGACAGCGCGACATCACGTATATTCCGTTTGCGTTCCCCGCAATTTTTAGAAAATGCTGTAATATTCCCAAGTCTTGGCCTTCTTAGAATTCACGATCATTGAAAAGGAAGTCAAGTGAAAGATATTTTGTAAAACTAGTTTCCGTCTCCGTTTTCTATTCTACCCTGACATCGATCGCCGTGGCTACCACGCGATCCCAGAAAATAAAATCTTTAAAATATATAACTATACAACTATACATACAACGTTTATTTCATAAATATGTATCGAATTTTTCCATAATTAAATTAACAACAAGTAAGTAGCCTTACATATAATCTTTTCACATTTTCAATTTTATAATCTATATTTTGACATACTAAAAATATATATTTTTTATGTTTAATAAATATAAAAGTCCATGTGTATAAATGTACGTGTTTTTAGTATGCATTAATATATACATGAGGAATATTGTGCATGCTAGAATTATGAGTTACGACTTCCTAAAATTCGTTTTTATGTTGAGACTATTTTGGCATTGAGCGCTAAACTTGTTTCAAATATATACTTTCACATCTCATTAACATATTAACCCTTTAACAAACTGTATAATAGGATGAAGGTCAAACTACACTTGCTGCATGTATAATTTTAACCTTTACGTATCTAGATGTGATATAAAATTCAACTGTAGCCTCGGGAAAAAGACATTCTTATTCAGAAAAAGCACTATCGTAAAATGTTACTATAACATACCATAATAATTAAGACAAATAGAATTTTTCCTTTAATTTTATATTATTTGATTGTCTAATTTGATTTTGTTTATAATAATTAAATAAGAGCAAAAGAAACAAATGGTTGAATTATAAGAAAATGAAATAAATAGTATAAATTAACACGTGTAGAACTTTGCTTAAAATCGTGTCGGTTCGATTAATTGGCGATTTGGTTAATTGACAGTCCGGATAATCAACGTTACGTTCGCTTACGACAGGCTGAACGCGCAGCTATAAAAATGGTTCGATGCGAAATTATCTGCATATACTTACTTATGATATACATATAGATATGGATTTATGCGGCGAACTTTCCCATCAGCACGCAACATCGATAAATCAGTAGTGCAATAAAAATCCTTTTTGCTTATGTACAGTTAAGTTGATTACTCTCTTGAATTATACTACTTTACTGAGGATTACTCTTTTGTACAAGTTCCGCTAATGTTTATTTAAGTACGCGGTAAACTCCATTTAGTAATGTAATATATTGCTTTGTAATCAGATTCTTCACCGAATCAATATCAGCTTATTGTCGAATTTTGTTGCTTTGATGTGTTTAGTATTGTTATTATAAAATACAATCAAATAATTAAAGCTTTTGGCTTGTCATTGTACAATATACTATGCAGTGGTATAAATTGAAACAATTTAATCTTTTAAGTACTATTTCTCTCTCGCTTATTTGATAAAATATGTCTGTAAAATATGCGAAATATAATTTGCTCAATTTCTTTTCTTTTTGTATATATATACATATATT